AAGTGTGATTTGTTTCTAAATGCTCATCTAAGTGAGAAGAACACATCCATACGGTAAACATGCCATTAAACTAAGCCTAATCAAATAGAGAATAAAAATAGGCTCGAGAAGAGGGGAAGTTCAATACCTTTTCTCTGAGAAGGGAAGCTTCAATCAGAGGTGCTCGGCATGTTCGTGGAGGTCCAAGGAGGCTAGGGATTGAGCCTCTTGTTATGGTGAAAAGTCTAGGTATGAATTTGACCAAGCTCGATTTCAGATGTTGGTCTAGAGCTATGTTAAGGGCTCTGTATGAGGGGAATTTGATGGGGTTGTCTTCTTTCACTGTGGTGAAGGTGTGGGTGAGTTTAATTTGATTTTGGTGGAGTGTAGAGGTGTGGAGAGCTCTGTCATGTCTCCGGTAATGATTTGAGCTCAAAAATTGAACTCCGGCAAGGGGATTTAGGGCAATGTGGTGGTTAGGTTGCATTGTGGAGGTCTTAAGGAAGCTCAGGGAGTAATTTCAGAGGGTATTCTTGAGAAATTTTCAGCACCACCCCCATTGGTCATGGAGGTGAGCTTTTATTAAAGTGGCCAATAGTGGCTCTGTGGGTCAATTAAAGGGTGCAAAGTGTTGCCTATGTGGAGGGCAGAGAGGCTCTAAACTTAAAATTGGATGAGGTGGCCTCAAGGTTTGAATTGAGTTTTGATTTTTTGGGGGTCGCTCACGGTTTTGTTGTTTTCCGGCCACTAGGTCGGTCGGCCAGGCCAGGGGAGGTGGCTAGGAGGTCAGGCGAGCCAAAGGAATCTATCACAGCAATTAAATGGGTTGGTGTTTAGTTTTGGCGAAAAAAAAATCCTTGGCTTAAGCAAATTTGGAATCAAATCCCTTGATTTGGGGATCCCTTGGTTCATGGCTCATTTGGGTGGTTTCATGGGGTTTAGTCTGGTCTTAGTCTGGTCATTAGTCTGGTCAATAAGGTTTAAATTTCGGTTGTGGTGGTCTTTGGTTAGTTAATTTGGCTTGATTGGTAAAGGGGTCCAAGTAGGTCAATTTGGCTTAAAGTGGGTTTGGGTTATGTTAGTTAAAAACTTAAGCTCAATTGATTGATCAACATTGTGTAGATGATTGTCATGAAGATTTCTGATGAAGGATTGAAAGGATATTAAGTTCAATTGGGGGTTTAATTTGAAGGATTTTGGAATTTTGATCAATTATCAATTTAAGCATGTTGGATTTTGATCAATTTAAGCATGTTGGGCTAGACTTGGGTCTAAATTGGGCTAGGCTTGTGCTAAGTCCAAATTAATTGTTGAAAATGGTCAATAAGAATGTCATGAAGAGTTTTCAACATAAATTGGGTGCCAATTTTGGGGTTAGAGCAATCAATTTGGTGGAATTTGGAGAGCCAATTTGGGGCAAATTTGGGGATTTTTTTATTTAAGTTGAAATTAAATGAAATTGAGGTTTCACCAAGGCCAATTGAAGGTCAAGTTTGATGTTTAGGAATGTTATGAAGAGTTTTCAACATAAATTGTGACAAATTGAGTAGGCTATATGTTCAATTTGGTGAGATCAAGTCATATGGTCAAAATTGGGGGTTTGACTTAGATCAAAATTAGGCTCAAAGCATGGGTCAATTGAGCTTGGATTTGGTTTAGATTGGTCATATGGAAGGTGAATTTGAATTTAGGATTGAAATTGGGGAAAATTGGGACCAAATTAATGGACATTTGAGATGAATTTTAGAGAAATTGGGTCTTTAAGGGCAATTTGGTGGTTTTGGTCAAATTGGTCAAATTGGGTCATGTGGTAGTTGAGAAAAATGGAATTGGGAATATTTGGAATGTTTTGGGAATTTTTTGGATTTTTTGTAATTTTTGAAATTTTGGGTTAAGGAGGGGCTTTTTGATAATTTGGTAATTTTTTTGTGATTTTGGGTAATTTGTATTTTTTTCAAAAGGTTTGGAATGATTTCTGAACAAATTTGGGTATTTTTGGTAAATTTGAGAATTGTTGTTAAATTTAGGGTTTCAATGGTACTTGGGTAATTTGGGGAATTTTGAGGCAAAAGCCCAAGTTGAGTATTTTTGGTAGAATTGGGGTGCCGCCCACCATAAATGAGCTATGGACCAATGGAAACCTCATTTGAGTCCTCTATGTACTGGTTTTAGCTAAACCCTAGCCTAGGGCCAGAGGGTTAGGGGACCATCTACATGAGTCTCCCAAAGGATTAAGGGATCAAAGTCAAGGAATTTTAAGTTTAGGGTATGTATGAGTGATTGTGAGTGACGTGAGTGACGTGAGTGACGTGAGTGATAGACCAACACCCAGAGTCAACTATAAGGGAAAGCAGTCCTATGGGAACTCATCTTGAGCTCCCCCATAATGACCCTACCTACTAAGTGCTAGAGGTTAGGACCAATATGTGTAGCTTCAAGTTAAGCAAAGAGGAGTGTAGAATTTCTAATGGTAACGGTTCCCTGTAAGTGTTAGAGGTTAGGACCAATATGTAGAGCTTCAAGTTGAGTAAAGAAGAGTTTAGAATTTCTGATGGTGAAGGTTCTTTTTCTAGTTTTTTAGGAATAGTCAATAGGAAATACCTATGACTAGACCCTAGGTTACTAAAGAGGAAAACTAGACATCAACCAAAAATGAGGTCAACAGACCTAAAAAGAAATGCACTTCATATATGAACCAGAAACTGCAAAGAGGAAAGAGCCAAAACCACATAGACTTAAAAAATTTCAAATTTCTTTGAAAAAGGACATGCAATATGGTGTTTTCCCTTCCCTACATTCATTTTCTCCATAAAGCGCCACAAACCAAAAACAATAGCTAGAAACTACAGTGAACCAAAAGGCGCAAAGTGCAAGGAGCCAAAACTGCAAATACCTAATAACCTCCCAAGCCAAATGTTCCCCCTAACTCAAGTACCCCAACCTTCCAAACCATTTTACCTACACCCCCACCTCTCCCAAATTAATCCTTCACATATTGATCCATCTACTCCCAATATTCATCCTATGGACATTCAAGCCAAAACCAGCAACCTCAAGCCCACTAAGCCTTTTAATCTTCTTCACCAAACCTCACTCCCTACTGATCCTACCTCATACACCCAAGCAACGAAATCCGAACATTGGTGACGGGCCATGAGTGAGGAATTTTACGCTCTTCAAGCTAAAAGAACATGGACTTTTATTCTCTCTCCTCTCAACCATCCGGTCTTGGGATGTCATCAGACTTATTGTATTAAGCAACACATGGATGGTTCAATTGCTCCCTATAAAGCAAGCTTAGTTGCCCAAGGTTTCAACCAAGAATTTGTCACCAACAACTATGAAATGTTTAGCCCAATAGCGAAAATGCCCACCCTCTACATTCTCGTAACGGTGGCCTTCAACCGCAACTCACCCATTCAACATTTTGATGTCTCTAACATCTTCCTCCATTGAACTCTTCATGAGACGATCTATATGAACCAATCACCCAGATTTACGAATAAGTAATTCCCACATTTGTGAATACTCAAAAAGGCACTCTATGGTTTAAAGCAGTACCCTCGTGAATGATTTACTATCACCTCAGATATTGTGATATCATTGGGCTTTACCATCAATCGGGTTGATCCATCGTTGCTTCTTTGATGAAATTCTACAGATACCACTTTTCTCCTCCTATGCGTCAATAACATTCTCAGTATTGGAGATTGCATGACGGCTATCACCAAACCTACCAACCAACTCTCCACAAGATTTAAGATTAAAAAACTTGGTAAAGTACAGAAATTTTTGGGAATTGAGGTATGTCGAACACTATAATCAATGTTTTTAAGCCAACAAACATATCTCACCAATATCCTACATGAAACAGTCATGCCAAGTTGTAAACCTGTTACTACATTTCAAGCAAGTAAATTAACAATCTGGACAACACACCACCTATGTAAAACCCATGGAGAACCTATCGAAATATCTGTGTATTGCAGGTACTCTCTAATAGCTTACGGTTACTCGACCAGACATATCTTTCGCCATCAACAAAGTCTGCCAACAAATGCACCAACCAACAATTCACCACTTTCAACTCCTCAAACGCCTTCTCCACTACCTATCAGGCACGGATACATCTGGCACTCATATCACGCATGGCGATCTATCTACAAACCTTCTAGAACGCAGATTGGGCTGATGATTTAGTAAACCGGAAATCCATGACAGGGCATTGCTCTCTCCTTGGCTCAACTCCTATCTCATGGACCGTAAAAAAGCAACAAATCGTTGGTCAATCGTCTACAAAGGCGGAGTATCGTGCCTTCAGTACCGCTACCGTCAATATCATATGACGTTGCCGCCGCCTTACAAAACTTGGAGTGGAACAGCAGTATCCAATGAAACTCTTTTGCGACATTGTTTGTCATGGTTATTGCCGACAATCCGGTGTTCCACACACAAGCTAAGCACATCGAGATAAATTACCATTTTATTCACAATTATATCCATCAAAGGATAGCTGGAAATCCACCACATACCTACACAAAATCGCCCAGGTGATATCTTCCCTAAACTTCGTAATAAGGAGAAATGTCACTACTTCAAAATCAAGCTTCATGTTCTTTGCAAGACCAATCACCTTGAAAGGGGACCATAAATATATTTACCTTATTGCACTAGTTATACTTCAAGACTATATTCACTACCTAGAGGTATGCAATGAGACTTCAGCCTAACTTTATGTATTCGAGTAGCGGGGAGTAAATCCTTGATTTGGTATCATTTCTGCTTTAGATGAGAGAAGTGTAAAACAATTGCTTTTTAAAATTGCAAACAGAAAAAAAAAAATGAACAGCAAAGAAAGTATGAACAGCAAAGAAAGTAAATGTTTCAATGAACAACAAGTGGTATTAGGATAAAGAAAGTACATCAGATAAAGGCAGTAAATCTCAGCAAACAAATACTGAAAACTTGCCAAACAATTTTATATGTACTCATTATCTGATTTCAATGTTGCAGTTTAGGCCAAGAATAAACTAAAATATGAACAACACAAATCATATACATATATATAATTCATGGACAGGTTCAAAGGTTTATTAGCAGTTACATGAGTGAAACAGAAAAGGTTTATTACTTTATATTATTTTCTGATTCAAATCAAAGTCGCATTAAAGCAGACTTTAAAAAATGATGAGCAAATAATTGGAACTGTAAATATATTAGCAATAATAGAAAGGAGGGCTTGTGTCCATTATGTAAAATGTAATGATGGATCAGTTCTGTGGTTTTCTGGTTTCAGTTCTCTTGCCATATATCAAGCCGGTGTCCTGGACGATGTTACAGAATCATAAGAATGGAAATTATTAGTTTACAGGATTTATAGTTAGAAAGAGATGGATAAATAAATACCTGTGGATCAGGAATGGGCCTTCTTTTCTCAATGTAACGATTAGGATCTGAAGCTGCAGCCAAAGCTGCCCTCTCCTGAATCAAAAGGTGTCGTTAACACCATGGGCAGAAGTATAGAAAGTATCTCAATTCACATAAATAGAACAAGAAAACACCGCCAACCTATCAAATTTTATGAAGGAATCTTTATATATACAGAAGCAACACTGTAAAATTTAAACTTGAATTGAAATTACATTTAATAATTAACAATCACATATGACACAATTTTAACTTTTTATATGTAACCAAAAGAAATGCACTTTTGTTACCAACTAAATAGTCATTAAGATCGATAGCAGTGGCGGGTAACTGACAGCGAGAGTGACGACGAGTGGCGAGATCACTTATTTCACAATATGCATTTGAGATTCGCTCAAATCCAGTGAATTCCAAATGCATTAAAAATGAACTACATAACAAATTAAAAATTCACTTTTGTTACCAACCAATCAGTCATTAAGATCGATAGCAGTGGCGGGTAACTGGCAGCGAGAGTGACGACGAGTGGTGATATCACTTAATTCACAATATGCATTTGAGATTCGTTCAAAATCCAGTGAATTCCAAATGCACTAAAAGTGAACTGCAGAACGAATTTAAAATACATTGTAAATTTAAACTACATTTGTTTTTCTTCTGACCAAATGCTTGAATTTTAAAACCACTGCAAAAGGAATGCACTTTTGCTACCGACTGAATAGCCCCTTAAACAAACTTGTACCTATTATGAGCTACAATCCATTCATCTATGTGTATTGAATTTTTGTACAAATGCCTAAATGATAAACTCATCTTTGTTGCTACAAATATTCTAACACAACTTTAAATGCTACAATTATTTTATTTAATTCTTAACCTTCACATCCTATAAAATCTAATTTGAATTTTGAATTTAAATTTAATAATATAAAATCTTATATTCATTTATGACTATTTAATATTCAACCAATTTATTTGAGAAAAAAGTCAAAATAATTGTTTGACTTTCAGAGATCATTTTAGTCTCACAGTCTATAAAAATGTCAATTTAATCCCAGACTCTTTTAATATGAGATGAAATAGTCCCCAATGAGGACTAATTAAGCTCTAAATTATAAAGAGTCTGGGGATTAATTTGACACTTTTATAAACTTGGGGCCTAAATGGCCCCTTATAAATAGTCAAAGGGAATACTTTAGCATTTTATTTTATTTAATAGCCAATTACACATGATACATGACATTAGTTTTAAACTTAATTTTTTTTATAGTTGTAATTTAAATTAAATTGTCAGCTACAATCATTTAACCCATGCCTAGGACTTAGTATAACTACTACCCAACTTCATTTAACCCATGCCTAGGCCTTTAGTACCAAGTAATTAAATAAAAATGAAAGGCAACCAAACCAAAAGAACAATGCATCAACTTCATAGCAGTAGAAATTCCGAATAGAGTTTTGCATCAGAAAAGCATAAAACACGAAGATATATGTCAACGCTCATTCACAGTTTTGATAATGCGTTCAACAAACATTACGCAATTGAAAATCTTTAAACCACAAGAGCATATTTATTATGTATTAAGGTTACCCAAATAGCAAAGTTTAACATCTTAATTTTATTGACTATTTTTCTCCAAAACTTTCTAATTGACAAAGAATAGTTTTAGATCATGTCAATATATTTGATTCGGACCTGAGACGGATCTGAGACCATCCGATCTTGAAACTACATGCTAGACCATCCGATCTTGAAACTACATGCTAAAAAGTAGTTTACTTTAACCGCCAGTCCTTTATCTATGGTGCATCTTCTGAAATGGCTTCTAAAAGCATTTCGTATTTGTGTTGTCGAACATGGCCACGCTTTCGACACCTGCGCCCAATCACATATTAGAGTATATTCACTTGCAAAGATCATGTTTTCACTAAGAGGAAAATGCGCTACCTAACTTTGTCTCATAGAATAGAAGCCCGACTCTCAAAAAGTATCTAATATAAATAGTTATTTTATTAAGAATTTTTCGAGAATTTTATTGTAATTTTGATTGCGCTAGGTAGAAATTAATGTTGTAATTCTCCAGAATCGATAATAAAATTTTCAGTTATTCTAACAAGATGTAATCATTAATTGTGTAACCTGTGGAAAGTTTTCTATTTTATTCTTTTTTTTTCCTCTTTTTTTTTTAATGTGTTCTCCTCGTCCGCATAAGTTTCATTTATTTTAAAGTGAAGTAAAGATGCACCACAACACAACTGTGACACTCTCCGACACAACTGTAGGCATGATGATGATGAAGTTTATTTATTTACTATAAGCTAGCTTAGCAAATTACATTTTTATCAATAATTATGAATGGCTTCTTAAAAAGGGCATTGATTTTATTGGTAAAAATGATCGTGATACCAGGAGTTACATTACATAAATGTGTTGATATTTTTTTTAATGTTTTTGAAGATTATACACTAGTTTTATTTCAGCTTATCGTGTGAACAATATAATTTTGCTATTCAATGGATCATACCTATTGATTAATGTTAATGCTAATGTATTATCACAATTAAGCACACTTGAAAAAAAGCAAAAGACACAATTAAATATTGCAATACAATTATAATTAAATCTTTTCTTGTTGATCTTTAAGCTTCTTATGTGATACATATTATTTTACATTTCATTTAGTATGATATTTTCATAGAAAACATAGACAATTTTCAATTTATATTAATGGTTTAATTGAAAAAAATTTCATAAGATACTGTGTCCTCATGTGTGTGCATATCATATTGTCTCATGTTGGTTTCCATGCATTATAGTTGCATTTGGTGCCACCAATGCTAGTGAGCCTATTCTGCAAAAAGACACAGAAGGCCATTTGTAACTACTAACATCATAGCAACCATGATTCTTGAGGCCGCAACCATTTGCAACTACTAACATTATAGCAACCATGATTCTTGAGGCCGCACCCAAACAAAGGTCGACGTCAACAGCGACTTGCCCCCTTCTCATATGGCTAGTACCGGGGTGATCATTAGAAATAAGATCTGAGACTTTATGGTTGCTTCTGGATAGCATCTGCAGCACTGAGACAATGCTCGGGTGGAGCCCTAAGCCACTCTCGTCCTGAAAAACATCATGAAGTCATAGATATTTGAAGGGCATGATATTGTGGGTGACAATGCAAATGTCATCAACTATTTGAAACGAAGCATGGAGGACAGGATTTGACAGATTCGACCATAGGATAGCCTAGATTTTACCTTCCTCGCATAGTTTAGGCAAATGATTTTTAGTTCCCAAAGAAGTTATAAAGCCACTCATTTTATACAGTTGGCGCTTCGGGATGGTTTCATTTTGACATGTGCATGAGACTCATGCACTTTTCTCTTCTTAGGGATAATAGATCTCACATTCTACAAGCATAGTTGCATAGCTTTCATGCCTTTCTAATATTTAGATATAGAATGCAATATGCAAATTAATAAAAAGAAGTCTTACATGGAGCCATTCTTGTAGGTTTCTCCTCTTGTGTCTCTTTGTTGACTAGTTATTTAGGATTATTTTTATTGATTTCTTTGTTTCACTTTATGTTATTCTTTGATTATAAATCTTTTGATCTACGAATTTTTTATTTTTTGTAATTATATCTTTTGCACCAACGATTTTCTTGTTGCCAAGTGTGACTCAATTATATTATCTATAACTGACAAATGAAATTTGAAATAAATTTTATATTTATATAGATGTTTGAGGCATGTACAAAACTTAAAATTAATGGCTGAATAAATTTTCTATTTTAATTCTCACTTCATTCCACTTCTAGAATTCAATCAATCAAGCAACAAACTTTAAAAGTACCGGGAGACAACCAAGAGAGAGGTAATCTCCTTGTATAAGTGTTAGGCTTATTTTTTATTAAATTCGTTAACTTTATTTATGAATTTTCATTAATTTGACAAATTAAATCTTCTGATTCTCATTAAGTGTGTTGATATATGAGTGGCTTTCTCAATACTAATTTTCTAGTCATAGTTTCTACTAAAAAGCAATTAGATCTTAGCTTCAATATCATGTTGTTGACTTTCAACGAAGGTAGCAAATAATTATTTAAAATTAAGACTTTGTGCCCTACGAATTTTGTTCACTTGTTGCATGATTTTCAACAGTCCATATTAGATTTGTATCAAAAGCCCTAGAACTTAAGATATCATTTATTAGATTTAATATGAGAGTTTAATATAGCCTCAGAAAATCTATTAGTTGAAAGTTCTAAAACAATCAGTTAACATAAGAAAAAAAAAATTATACAGAATAAGTTTTTTAATGGTTCTAGATAAATCTAACCCAATTATCATGGAGTTAAGATTTGTATACTTACATTTGATTAGAAATATAATTATGAGGCTTTTTCATATCGTACAAAAACTTAGATAAATTTTAAATGAAACAATATGTGAGTCAAAAGTGTTACATTTATTAAAAAAATTTAGTGTGACTTCCTCAAAAAATTTGGGAAGTTTTCATATTAAAATGGAATCTACTGTAATATTAAACATAAAGTTAATTAAAAATATTTGGCATTCATTGATTATAAAGATCAATTATATGATCAATGTAATAACTAGTGTGTTTGAGTATTTTACAAAGTTTAATGGTCTTGTATCCGAACAATATTTACCTATAGATTATCACATCAATATATGCCTTATAAAATATTTTATATAAAAATTTAAGAATGAGTTAAGCTACATTTTTAAAAAAAAATTAATGTTATTTTCCACAAATCTTTTGAAATTTGGAATATTATAATTACCGTACCTTCAGGATTATCCTTTATTTAATATTTCTAAGGCAAAATCTTTTCTATGTCACCCAAAGCTTATTAAACCTAAAACTACACCAAAATCATGTACAATAAAATTTGGTCATATTGAAAAAAAAAATAGTTCATTAATATTTTAAACTATAGTTTGTAAATATTTTTTAATTGCGAACCAGATGCAAAAACTTTTCATACATTGTATGTTTCGACATCTTATTTTGCTAAATC